GAGACTAGCCAACAGCTACTTGCGTTGCAGCTATCTACCTCTGCCACCATGCCACAACCTGAATTCCTCTACAGCTGATCAACCAAATTCTGTGCTCCAAAGGTGACAGTGCTGTTTGACATGAGCACCTCAATCATGTCTACCTAATGCCATCTTTGTTGTACTTCAAAACTCAACTCAGGTAACACTTCCTCTAGGAAGCACCCCTTGATTACACTAACCCACCCTCACTTTCCTGTCCTTCCCAGGAACAAGACTTTCATCTGCTTCCAGGCACTATTACCACCCTCATCTCATTTCATCCTTAAAACTATTCTGTGAAGTGGGCTTTCATACACTCATTTGACAAATGGGGAGAGGTAGGGATAGCCTTGGTATTCATAGGAGAAGCAAGGATATGTGTTCAAAATATAAAACTCATGGGCTGGGGTTGTGGCTCAATGGGAGAGCACTTGCCTTGATGTGTGAGGCACTGGGTTCGATTCTCAGCACCACATATAAATAAATAAATACAATAAAGGTCCATCAACAACTACAAAATAATTTTTTTTAAAAAAATACAAAGCTCGTGTTTGTGTCCCTTTACCTTGTACACACAGCTCTTAAGAGAGCAAAGCTTATTCAGGTGGGCATAGTGATGTCTGCAACTAGGCTTTGAAGGAACAGAAAGACTGTATATACCTTCCAATGGAGCATGACAAAAGGTTGGGCACCCAGGACAAACTCAAAGAAGCCTTGCTGCCCAGATTTCCAGTACCTGCCAGCTGCCAAGAGGGCTTCTGCTCGGATCTGCAGCAAACGATAGAAGCGCATCTTAAAGGTCAGCCGCTCAGGCTTCCCAGGGTCTGCGTGGGGGCAGTACACGTTGATAAGGGTCAATGTCCTCTCTTTTCCTTTCCAAGTGCTGGGGAGAAGAGAAAACCTCAAATAGGGTCAGTTTCAAGGCTTCCCCCACCACACCACATGGCTTCTACTTAATGGTTATCCACAGGATAGAAGAAAAGGATTAGAAAAACACTGAACTCAGAGGACTTGGGGACTGACTACAGGTGAGTCAAGGAAAGGGGCATGTAGGATGCCAACCAAGTAAACCAGGTGACGATGCTATCATTCATTAAAACAGGATACCCAGAAAGCGAGCAACGTGGGTTTGGTATTGGCTATGTTGTTTTGGGGGTGCCTGTAGTAGTAAAAGGGCTGGATTTCCAGGCCAGTCCCCCATTGTGAGAACTCAAGGCTCATAATGGTACATAATTTGCCAGGGTCACATAGTGAACAGCCCAGTCACAACTAGCGTCCAGAAAAGGCAAGTTTGGGAACTTTTCTATAATGAATGCATGTTTATAAAGTGAGCTCTCCACATAAAGACTAGAACCAGCAATGCTCAGTGGCAGGGGGATATGGGCTATTACCGGATCTTGTGCTGTGTAAGGAGGGCCCGGCCCTCACTATCCAGAGCTCTGAGCTCCTCTTGTGTGAACTCATCTGTGTTTCCGTAACAACCCACGTCTGGATTCTGGGTGGCAAATAAGCCACTCAGGCCTTCTTCAGCAGCCACTGGGGTAGCGCTATCCTTACAGAAGGTAGCTACACCTGGGGACAAAGAAGATATCTGAACAGGACTGGCAACCAACAGTCTGTTGGGCAGCCTGCCTCATTCCAATTGTTCCCACAAAAGTTACTCTTCATAAAATGTGGCACTGACAAATTGTCCCAACTCAAGAGCCATGGATGGTTCCCTAGAATGTGGGGCAATTTTAATACCTCAGAGCCTCAGTTCCTTCATCTAAAAAGCTACAGAATAATAACAGCTAATGTTCTAATTATTTTACAGGGACATATGGTAACTGCTCTTAAGTTATTATGTATTATTATTATCACATGGATTACCTATCCTAGTTTTCCAGTTGAGAATTCTGAGGCACAAAGAGATAAGTCTTTCCAGAGGGTACACAGGGAGTGAACCATAATTTGAACCCAGGCAGTCAGGATCCAGAGCTCACAAAAATAACCACCACACAATTGTACTTATTGTACAACAAGATAATTATATACATAAAAATACACTTCATGTAACTTAAATTTTATGGGGCTTTAGCTCTTTGGACTAAAAATCTAAATTTCTTATTACTTTCTCAACAATATTAGAAACGCTTTCTTCTTACCTGCCTAACACTAGTTTAAAATTCCCCCAAACCCAATTTACCAGAATAGCCACTTCGGCTGCGGCTGAAGCTGAAATAGGAGTTATAGCCCTCAACGATAGCCAGGGGCTCTGTCAGCACATCCCCTGAAAAAAAGTATAACATTAAGTCAAAGGTAAAACTAGGACCCAGAACACAAAAAGGCCTGAAATTACAGTTGTAGGCTAATAGTATTGGCACACATCAGAACCAGCGTTTGAAGGAAAAATGAAGTATCTATGATCAAAGAATCTAGAAAGGTAGAAGAGTCAGAGAGGGAATTATATCAATATAATAAGGTAGGGAAGTGAGGACAGCCCATGAAGTGGAAGGTGGAGAATTAGTGAGTGGGGAGTGAATCAAAACTAAGCCTAGGGGTCTAAATGATGGAAAGGAGCTAGGAGTGGGAAATGGGAACATGGAAAAGGAAAATGGGAATCTGAACTGGGGTGTAGGAAGATAGGAAAATAGCAGATCTGAAATGGTGATGATGAGAGAAGAAATTAGGGATCCTGAGGGAGTGGGGGAAAGGAAATTAGGTCTAAACTTGGGGTGGGAAATGAGGTGGAGATGAGGGTTGGCATAAATAAAGGGAACTGGAGGTCTGTGGTGGCAAAAATTATAAAGTATGAACAAGAGGCAAAGATGGGGTGGGAATTAGAGAGGGACAGAGAACTGAGGGGCCTTGGGGGTTAGAGATGGACAATGCATAGGAGGGGGAATTCAAAGGGCTGAGTTGGGGCAGTAGAATTAGTGGGAATCTGAGTGGATTTGGGGATTTCACAGGCGAGGCAATTAAAGTCCCATAGAGGACAGGAGATGGGAGTGGGAATTAGGGGATCTAGCTGGGATAGACAATGGTGGTTAGAAGAGAAAAAGATTCTGACTGGGTTTAAAGGACTCTTAAGTACGAGGAAGTGGGAGAGTGAAATGAGATAGAACAGAGGACAAAAGTTAGCGAGAAAATAAGAATATGGTAAGGATTTTGGATTATTGAGTGCTCACTAGTCACTTTGGTCTCCTGGAGACAGACAATATCAGCATCCAGTTCATCCAAAATGCGTCTCATGGCCATGGAGGTACTGTTGCTGGTTTCCTGGCACACCACCCCTTGCAGGGGACTTCGGATTCCATTTATGTTCCAGCTCACAATGCGCAACATCCTAGTAAACTGTAATACATCCGCCACATCCAGCGTCTAAGGAGCGGGCAAACTGCTTGGCGCTCGGAAGTCGGTTAGACAGCGCGTTTGCGCGTGCGTTTGCGCAGGCGTTCCTGTCCGTGCCACGGAAGAACTTGCCGCACGTCTGGCGGGGCTTTGAGTCCCGCAGTTCTCATTGGCCAGAGACGTAACTACACGCACAGCGAAGGGGCGGGGCGAACGAACGCTAAGAAAGAATGAATGGCGGAAAGCTGGTCCGCGTTTGGGTTCCTAACACCTCTGGCCGCACCCTGGCCCAGACGTTTGCGTCTGACTGTGTTTCTCCTTTATTCAAAAGTTCCCTTGGTGCTTCCGGTTACTTAAGAATGGGATGTCGCCACTTTTTAGGCGGGAAACTCCTTGGACCTGCTCACTGGCCTAAGCCCCACCCCCAGCACGGCAGATAGCCCACCTAAGAGCCCTTTTGGCTTTGGCACTTGCGCCCTGGGAGTTGCAGACGCCCTGTGTTTGCACGCTCCAGGGTTGAAGGGAACTTCACGGTTGGAGGAGAGATCGCTAAGAGCTTCTCTACTGAGATAATATTTTAGTAGGATGACTTCTGGCATTATTGAGGCAGAAGGCAGGGGGAGACTGTCTCAAATCCGCCCTGTGCCTAATTTGTCTTGTGTCTCAGAGAGTCTAGAAGAATGTGGCCAGACGTGTGTACTTGCTCTTGGCTCCATTTATCAGATGAAAATTAAATTGAGGCCCAGAACATTTAAGCTCCAAAGCAGCACTGTCTCTGTCCCCTGATGCAGCTGTGTTTGTCCTGTATACATCATCTCTTTCATTCCCAGGTAAACCTTGGAAGGGGTGTAGAAGTTGAGTGAATTCACTTCAGTCTCACAGAAGTGATAGAGCCAGGATTCAACCTCTTCCTTAATCAGGTCAAGAATTACTTTTCTAAGTAAGATTTTATGGACTACACACCTATCACCGAAGTCTTCCCCTGGGTCCCACAGCACTCTATGTTCATGCTGTCACAGCATTTATCACAATCAGCAGCTATCATTGATTTCTATTTCTGTTGCCATTAGACTGCCAGCAACTCTAGAGCAATGACATATGTATGAGTCATCTTGTTAGCTCCATTTCCTATTACTGGACACAGTATATCTTAGAGGGGATTGAATATTTGTTAGACGAATGAACAAAGGGCAACAGCAACAGGTTCATTTTTTTTTTTTGAGAGCACAAAAACAGAAGTGATACACATGCTTAATATCCAGGGGGAAATATAACATTGTATTTTTAGGTTTCTTATCCAGAATTGCAACATAGTTATTTTTTTCCACAGAATTTTACAGTCTTAAAGACATCATCTTCTGTGGCTGCAAAAAAAAGACCTAGCAAACTGCTTTTCCTCCCAGAGGACTTAAAGTTTACCTACTACTTGTTGCCATCAGCAAAGAGCTCTGTAATTAAAATGTGTGTGAGTATGTGTGTTGTGTGTGTGCACACACGTGCGCGTCTTGAGCTTTTTCATGCTTTGGGATTTGCTGATTTAGTATTGAGTCCCAGGAGTGGGATAACTAGGACAAAGGAAATGAACATTTTTATTGCTCTTGCTTCATATTGCCAAATTACTTTCCAGTAAGGAATTGTGCCCATTTACACTCAAGACTGATCTGAAACTCAGCCCCAAGGAAAGCCAGATCTTGCTTGTCTCAATAGCTGGTTTTAATTTCCCCATTCTGTCGTGGCTTGTTAATATTAGTTCTGACCTTTGGGGCAAGGTGAACACATGGTTGGACTGAAGAGAAAAGGCTCAGGAACTCCTTTAGCACTACAACAGCTGATATTTCAACAGAGTGTACACTACACCCCTTAACAAGGGTGCTTCCTCAGCCTTCCCAGGAACCGACGAACATCTCCAGGTTTCCTCTTTGATGCCACCCACTGGACCTGCTTTGGGGGGTCTGTAAATGCAAGAGAACTGAGTGTTGGATAATTAAGGATGGAAGAAAAAACCTCTAAGAGAACAGGTAGGTGAGAAGGAAAAGTAGAGAGGAGTTACACAAATCTAAATCCATTCTTTGGGCTCAATGGAAAGTTTTGTTTGCAAGGTGTTTGTTTGAGGTATGCATTAAATGGTATGAGAGAGTTGGGAAAAACGATTTCTGTATCTAAACTATCTGTATTTTTAATCTACTTTTATCTGAATTTGTAGGACAGCGACCTAAAGGGCAATTCCCTAGCACCATTAGAAGTATCTCCAACTTAGTCTAGTACAGTTTTGAATGAAATGTGTGATAGAGATACCTCTTCCCTCTCCTATAGTATATAAAGTAGGGTTGATTTGCTGTGACACTTTGAACAAACTTTCTAGTTTCTCCAGGTGTCAATAGCTCAGCAATAAAATGGAAATTAAAGTCTTTAGCCTACTTCCCTCAGAAGGTTGCCTGAAGATCAAGAGAGGCAGAAGGACATGATCCAAAGCTCTTTGGAAACATTTTAGGATTTTCGTACTCTGTGTGAAATTAGTTATCATGCTTTTTATATAGCATCTACAGGCAATACAACCCACAAATCTCTAACTGCTCTTCTCCCTCAGTGACTATAGTGTATGGAGAATTACTCCTAGGACTAGGATGCAGTGAGCTTTGGGTCCCAAGCATGGGGCTGAAAATAGGGGGATGGTGGCCAGGGCAGAGGCTGCAAAGGAAGTGGATCATAGGCTACTGCCACAGAAGGCCTGATATGTATTCATACATACACATCTAACCTGCAAGTATGTAGCTAACCTCCCCCTCAGACTTCTAGTCTCCCACAAATTCATCCATACACACATTCCAATAATTATCAATTGTGATTTTATTGCCCATCAGTACTGTCTTGCTACTTTAAGTAGGATTCCTTCCTACACTCAGTACTTGGCAGAGGGGTGTCAGTGTCTGTGGATCTCTGGAAATCACATTGTGTATATTTTTCTTCCCTAAAGACATTTGGACTTTATGGCTGAGCACTCAGTTTTGAGTAAGAATCTGATACTGATTAAACCCTATCCCTGCAACCAATTCATTAGACCCTCTCAGATGGGGCTTTATTCTTTTGTTTATTCTGTTCTGCACATTCTACCTTTTAACAAGTCAATTCTCCCATCCATTTCCCTACACAGCTCTTTGTTTTAACACTTACCTTGATAGAATGGTGTATCTCATCTAGGGCAGAAAAATGTAGACTGTACCAATATTCATTGAGCAAATGTTTCCTCTGTGCTAGGGCCTGAGCTGGACACTGGAAATATATCACCAGGGTTCAGTTCCCATCTTCATGGATTCCACAGTCCAGCATGAAAGCAGATGAAGAAAACAGTGGGGATAATTGCTCATATAGATGGAGGCACATGGGCAATATGAGAACTAAAGACAAAACCTCTCCCAAGGATCCAGAGTCAACTTCCCAGAGGAGATGAATGTTGAATCAGACCTTGAAGAGTGAGTTGGATTTCATTAAGAATAGAAGGGAAAGAAGGTATTCCAGGATACCCAGATAAGGGGGAAAGCCCAGAAATAGGAAAGTACATGGTATATTTTGGGTCCCAGTGAGTCAGTCAATGCAATTTAAATGTGGATGTTTAAGGGAAATATGGTTGGATAGGTAGGTTGGTGCTTAAATTAGAAGAGGTTTGAAGGTCCGGCTGAGGATTTTTCATAAAGCTTTTTTTTTTTCTCCTTCTGGAGTCAGAATTGGTAATAATGGTAAAAAGTCTTATAGTTAGTTTCAGATAATATTAAATTTGAGTTTTCAAGCCTAGACCCCAAGTTTATCCTTTCAGACCTTGTCAAAAATCCACTAGCCACCCATCTCAGATTTCCTGCTACTAAAATTATCTTCCTGCCTCTTGGCAGGTTCATAAGGACAGAATTGTAAACATAAAAAACATTCATGTGACTGACTAGATTACCTTGGACAGTCCACTTCACCTCCCTAGATTTTAGTTTCCTTGTCATGTGAATCAAGATGTGTGTAAGGAATAAATAGGATAAAGGATATGTTATTGCCTCATGAGCAATTGAATACATATGCAAAAGAGTTATTATTAGTTATTAGCATTAACAGAGTTTTACCAATTAATAATTAATTGGTAATTATTAGGATTAGGAGAGTTGTATCTCTTCCAAAGTCTGTCTCTGAGACTCTACAAATTCTAATCTAATCTGTAAGGCTACATTTTTAAAATGTCTAATTTTTATTGACACATAATTGTACATATTTATGGAGTATAATGATATTTCAATACATGTATACGATGTGCAATTCTAAGATCAGGATAATTGGCATATCTATCACCACAAAAATTTATCATTTCTTTGTGTTAGGAACATTTAAAATCCTTTCTACTACCTATTTTGACATGCACAATTAATTGTTGTCAACCATAGACAACAGTGTGCTATAGAACATTAGAAGTTATTCATCCTATCCAACTGCATCCTGTACCTTTTAACCATTCTCTCTCTATCCCACTCCCCTTCTTAGGCTCTGGTAATCAGTGTTCTACTCTCAACTTTTTGAGATCAACTTTTTAGTTTCTGCATATAGGTGAGAACATGCTGTATTTGTTTTTCCATGCCTGATGTAGTTCACTTAACATCATGCAAAATACCACATTCTTAAATCAAGCTAGCTTGATCAATTAATCAAAGAAAATCTCTGGAGTGGGAGAACTTAGGTTCCCACTGTTCTACACATGACTTGGTGACTGATTCTTTCTTTTTAAAAAAATTTTTTTAGTTATATTTGAACACAATATTTTATTTATTTATTTTTATGTGGTGCTGAGGATTGAACCCAGTGCCTGCACCAACTAGCTGAGCACTCTACTGCTGAGCCACAATCCCAACCCCTTGGCCATTGATTTTCTATGTGATCTTAGAAAACCATTTTCCTTCTCTAGACCTCAGTTTATTTGTTTGTTTTCACCTGAGAAGATGAGATGAAATGATCTATATGTGGCTTCTCAACTTTAACATAAGTCTTTACATAAAACCAAAAAGGTATAAATGAAATCATCTTTCTATTTGATTCTCAGGAGCTCTTTACATCATAAATGTTAACTCATTGCCATAATATTGTAAGTTTCCTTTACTAATAAAAGTCACAGATTAGTCTAAGTGATTAATCATTTACTTCATAAAGGCAATAACAGTATTATTGAGCATTTTCCAGATGCCTTACACATATTAATGTATTAAATCTTCAATAACCCTAAGGGACTAGTTACTCTTATCATTCCCACATTCCAGATTAAAAAAAAAACTGAGACACTGAAAAGTTTATCTGTTCAGTGTCTCATAGGCAGAAGTAAGAATCCACTCAGGTAATGTGGCTATAGAGCCCATTGCTCTTAATCACTGTTATCCACTGTAGATTCATTTAGATATGTGGGCCCTGATGTTGAAATTCTGGTATGATTTATACACAGCAGCTGGAGGAAATCTAACCCTTGTGTAGACTAAGGCTCTGAGAATGTATTTTAGGGAACTTCTTAAAAGGCAAAGTGGAGCTGGGGAGCATTTGAGGGCAGAGATTGGAGATTTCAACCCCCAAGCGGTTGCTCTTGTGTAGCCCAGCTCAGTAGAAGAAAGTTGAACTTCCTAATAGCCAATCACTGGAGGTTCATCAGGGGGTGGGAAGGTTGCAAAAGAATGAAGTAAGAGCATGCTTGGACATATTCCAGGTAGGCTGTGCAGTTACATGAGTTCTACAGATAAAAGTCTCAAAATAACCAAGGGGAAGCAGGGAAAGCAGGCCCTGTGAAGGGAAGAAATTTGGGTGTGATGGTTCTGGCCTATGAATTTGTTCTATTTAGAGGACATTGCTTTTTTCTACCCATGCTCACCCTACTGCAGCCTCTACCCTCCAAAGCCATCATCCCAATGGCTTACATGAAAAACTTTAGCCAGGTTGTTGAGCAGATAATAATGTCTTTATCCCTAGGGCATCTCATGGCAGCTGTCAGCCATGTGAGCAGTGCTTACCATGTCTCCCTTCAGCAATGGTTGTACTCACTTCTCTTCTTGAGGTGTCAGTTTTACTGTGATTTGTTTAGCCTTGGCTAGGGAGAGTATAAAAATGATCAGATAGTGCCCATCTCTCCAAGAGTGTCATAGGCATCATATTTTAGGAGGAAGAGGCTCTGTGACAGGGAATCCAACAGTATTTAGGCGAAGACAAGGGTTGAGATGCCATTTTGGGTGGGGGTGACCTGTGAGGTAGTGAATATTCCACTTCCAGTTTGCCTTTTTCATTTGAGACTTGGTGTTTGTGCTTTTGTTCTTTGGGGCCTTGAATTTCTGATGTGGATCTTTGTTTTTGAGTTGGAGCTTGACATTTTACTTCAGACCAATTTTTTAATTTCAAAGCTAATACCTCTACCTCCATCATCTTTGCTTTGCCATTTCACACAGGATGCAAGCACATGATCTTTGGTCTTTTATTTGCATACTCTACTAGTCCTGACTTCATTGGCGGGAAGTGACTGGCCAGACCTGGGCTGTCTTGCTGGCTGCCTTCCTTGCTGGACTCCAACTTATCTCCTATGTACACAGCCCTTGGAGTTCAGAGGCCTCTGCTGACTTCTGCCCAACCTCTAGCTCTCAGCACCCAAGCCCCCCCTGGTATACACAGGAGCAGAGGCAGGCTAGGAAAAAGAAGAGGGCCTAGAGACAAGTGGTGAGAGGCTCAGAAGCCCAGTGTGCCTTCATTCCAGCCCTGTCCATCTGCTGCTGTGACAACATCACAGAAAGGACAACTAGGAAGATAGAAAGTGAGGCTTGATACCTTGTGAGCAGTGGTGTCATTAACTGTGACATCTAAGATGTCTCGAGAGATGGGAGAGCTCACCCAAACCAGGTTGCAGAAGATCTGGATTCCACACAGCAGTGGCAGCAGCAGGCTGCAACGGCGAAGGGGCTGTAAGTGGGGTTTACTTCTGTGGGCTCAATGTGGTGGTGATAGAGTGGGTATAGAAGAGCAAAGA